AGACTCTAGCAACACCTGTTGAAGTTCTGTGCTGTCAGACTCAACATTGCCTCGCCAGCCTGAATTTGCCTTTGCGGATAGGCAGCTGGCAGTTGGAGGACCATGAACCTGACCTGGTGCTCCGTTATAGTAAGGGAGCTGGTCTTGTTTCAGCAAACCCTGTGCTCTTCTGATGTGCATGTTCTCCTGGTCTCCATTCTCAGTTCACAGAGAAAAACCTTGCCCTCGCAGAGGAAAAAAGTGATGCCTTAGAATGATAGCTCTCATATTGCTGAACATATTAATTAAACTGTGTGCACGATTTAATTAAACTGTGTGCACGGAAATTAAAAGAGCTAATCTAACCCTTACCGTGGCAGTCAAAGTGTGCAGTTTAGGTAATTGCCAGTGTCTGTCTTAAAAACAATAGTCCCAGTCCCGAGGCAGTTGAAGACACTTGGCGTTGTGCCTCTGACTTCACTGGGGTCAGAACTGAGCTCAGGATTCTGTTTCAGACAGAGTGCAGTTCAAGGAGAGGATACTGTTAATAGCTTAAAACTGAATACAGTTGCCACAGCATCAGGTAATTTCTTAGGAAAGTTTGTTAGACTTCTCAATATCAATACTGGATTTCAGAGGTATATTTGCTGAATTACTCTTTTGATAAAACCCCTTAATAAGCAAGTCTGCTCTCCATCTGGTGCTGATCTTACTTAAAATACAGTGAGATTGGCAACTAATTCATTCATGGACAGAATAATTATAAGATTTGCATAAATCAGTTAATACTTGCTTGTAGTTTTTTGAAAAAAACAAAGTAAGAACCTTTCCTGTTATGACACAAACTCTTTGTAAGATGGAGAAATATCTCACACACTTCTGGTGCTGAAATATTGAGTACTGATGTTTGGTTTTTGCAGACTTCTTTTCTGTTAATTCTTGTTCCAAATATAGTACCTTACTTGTCTTGAAGCTGGTTACACTTCATGTTTAAGGCAAAATTCTTTCACTTTAAAGATTCAGTTTTATCTTTTAAGGCTTTAATCTTGCATCAATAACTTGAAGTGTTTTCCAGTGATGCACTGAACAAGGAACCAACATCCTTCTTTGTTGTTTTCAGTGCCAGATACCATTTATATCCAATGGTGGGCCTCCATTTGCCATGAAGATGCAGTTGCAGGGGATGCAGTGTACAGATGTTAGGCAATTTGATCAATGCTATCCGGAAATTATAGTGATTATATAGATTTTAGGATTTAGGTCCCAACTTCTAGGTCCCAACTCCTTCTTCTGATTCACTAAAATAAAATCATGCTAGTTTTATTTTCTTTCTAGAATCCCTACTAAAAATCTTGTTTAAAAGGAGTATGGGAAATCCACCAGCAGATAAGGATGAAAATTCCCAGGCATAGGATTAAAATGGGATGAGTTCAAAAGAGAAAAGTACGTGCATGATTTTATGGCTTAACATTGACAAAAGACATTTTTTTCAGGTAAGGCTGTAAATATCAAGGCTAGAAGGCTGTATTGACACACGCTAGCAGTCATAGAACCAGAGCTTCACTGAACTTCTCATTGAACAATCGGGAAGTGGAAAGAGGTTGGTCTTGATATCTCATGCTATCAGAGATGAATGAAACCTCCTGCAGGCTTGAAGTAATGAGAAATAACTGTGGGCTGCTCTGTTTGACAGCCAGTTGACCAAAGCCCTTTGCAACCCACATTAGAGTTCACAGTGTACTGTATTCCCCACCCAATAATTTACGTTCTCCTTAGAGTTCACAGTGTACTGTATTCCCCACCCAGGAGAGAATTTATGTTCTCCTGTCTCCATAAACTCCAACCATACGATTTTTCATGTGAGAGGAAAGGAGGATGGCAACACCTCATCAGCGTGAGAAACTCAGGTCTATAATCAACACTAGATGCTCAGGTTCAGGTTCCTCATCAGGATGTTGCCAACTTGGGGTTTTAACTGGCCTGTTAAAACTCCAAGGCGATATCTGTTAAAGGGCTGGATTTCTACTGTTGCACTCTTCTTTCTTTTTTTCCCCACAAGCCATCCCATCCATTGCCTAACGTATCAAAGAATAGTGTTGGCCAAGCTTCATTCAGTCTCCTGGCTGTTGCATCTGGGAATGTGGCAGGACACGGCAATCCTCCCTTTTAATTTCTCTTGTGTGATCTTCTACTGTATGTTTGATAGCGTTCACTGTTATCTTGCGAAGCCACATTGAATGAGTCCATTCTTTGCATTGTTTTAGTTAGCAACATGCTTAGGCTGGTCCAGAAAAATATAAAAATGTACAATTACCATCCAGAATATGTGGTCGCTTTCAGCTTTCAGGGCCCTTGTGGCCCATCAGCCACGTACAAGTGGCTATCACAAAGGGATGTTTCAAGATAGGCCTGTTTGAGTTTATAGGAACTGTGAGTTATTGTCTGCTAGAGGTAATGAAGAGCCTGTCTCCCATCTGACTGAGAAAACCTTTCCCAGAGAACTCTGAATTGAAACAGGCATGTTTCCATGAAAAAGATCTCTTCTGAGGACCTACCATCCTCCAAAGAAAATGGTTCACTGAGAAAGTACCTTACTTTGCTCTGTCCCATATCCCAGTATAAAAGTGAGCACAAGGGACTGTGCCCCTGCATTTTCCTTTCCTTGTGTTTGGAGGAAGTCCAAAGACTCAATACCACCCTCATGTGAATGGAGAGGTTCTCTTTGCAAGTGGTTTCCCAGCGGTTCTGAGCAGTTGCTTTCCTGGGCTTTTGTATCTCCCAGATTATAAGACAAAGCTGAAAAGTAAGATATTGTAAGAGTCCCACTTAATTTGTACAGTCAGCTCAGAACAGCTGGAGACAAATACAGGTTCAGGACAAGAGACTGCAGCTCAGGACAAGCATTACTCTAAAGGATTGCTGGTATGAGTTTGACAAGCAAAGACTCGTTTGAGTTAGTAGTACCAAGGAGCCTGTCTATTGAACAGAAAGCTCACAGCTGCTCACAGCAGGACACTGCTGCTTTAACAAGATTTTCTCTGACTTTTTTTTTTTTTGTAATCATCTTTCAAACTGCACCAGCATTTGTTGTCCTGAGGTGCTGACTCTAGTGGAAGAGATTCTAGTGGAAGCTTCTACTGCAGTTTGCACAAGCTTCATTCCAGGTCACTAATCTCATCCTCCTCAGGCTCTTTAATTGATTGTCCTCCAGCTGGAGGAATTGTCTGAAAGAAGTGACATCACTGGGGTGTTGAGGTCACATTTTTAGATTGAGGGTGGACTGAGGGAAGCTTCTGCCCTTTGGATTCAGGGAAAACCTGACATTTGAATGTGGTGTCCTTTGTCTGTCATGGACATCTGCTGCCCCCCGGGCAGCTGGTTACATTGGGAATGGACAAGAAGAGAGAGCAGAGGATGTGATTTGGTGACGAGCTGGTGTCTAGATGCTGAGCAGCAAAGTGTCTCTGCTGGGTTAGGCTACTTCACCAACAAGAGACTCATTGAGTATTCTGAGTCACAATCAGAAATCCACGTGAAGGGCTTGAGTTGAGGTGGCAGGAATAGGAAGTTTGCACCAAGGCAAATTTGGAGAACAAACCAGTTATAGAAATAGAACATGCTTTATGTTTTCCAGTGTTACCTGTGTAAGTAGATTTGACAGGGTACAAAAGCAGGAGGCCAGGGGATCTAAAAGCATCAGATGAAGGGCTATTTTGGATCCTTTGATACATTTTTCTGTGAAAACTGAAATAACTCAATGGAGCACAACTGATCCTTCTGCTAACCATACTCCAGAATGAAACTGACTCCCACCTACCATCTCAGCAAAAAGGCAGATTTTTTTGGCAAGATACACACTAAGGTCTTTGGAGAGCTCATTGCTCTAGTACCTACATGAGAGGAATCCTGCTACTGAGTGTAACTCTCCTCCCTGAGTTAGGATTTTATTCCCCTTTCCCCACATAAATGCCTTTTTTGGCAAGAGGTAGATATTCTGTGGACAAGGCTTCTTTGATTCTTTCCAATGAAGTTCATTTTTTAAAGTGACAGGGCAAAAAAGGAGAAAATATGATCTTCTAGCCTGTGATTCATTAATTAGCTTCTTTTTTGAAGGATGTTAAGGTGTCAGATTGCTAATTCAAATGGTATTTAAGTGCTCCCTCTAGTTTAGGGAATATTTTCTTGTTCATATAAAGAGTGAACCCTCTTCGATCTTGGCTTCTGGATGGTTAGAAAATGCCCTCAGGAAGATGTAGATGGTAGTTCAGATACGGGCAGACAAAGGAGGGAATTGTAATTCTTGAGCAAGGGGTCTTGACACTCAACCAAGAGGTAAGAGAAAATAATTATGCTTCCTCTGATCATCCTGATTTCTGGAATGTGGCAGAACTTAGGTTCCTAACTAATGAACACCCCCTTACTTCTGGATTTAAAGAGGCCAGAGCCCACGTACTTGGGAAATTGAGTCCACTAAGAAGTATGAGTGGAGGATTATACAAGAGCAGACTGAACTGGGATTTCGATGTTCTACATTTTGGATCACAGTAGATATGTATGTAATTAGTAAGGATTTAAGCATCTAATTCTTCTTGTGACCTGGCCTTCCCATCCCACATCAAGTAACTGTGGTTTGGCCTTATGAAGCGTAGGTCCTTCATGGTCTGTCTAATATGGCATCAAAGACCATATCCCTGTGGTGATAAAGGAATGAAGAAATGTGTAAGGAACAGGTCTTTTACTGATGTTGAATTTCATTAACCCGCATCACAAGAGCCCTTTATCACCTCACAGGATGAGTCCTATAATTTTTCTAAAGATTTGTGCAGTGCCAGCTTTCCATGTAACTATCTGCAACTTGGAGGACTTTTGCCACCTTATCTCCAGCTACGTCACCCACGCTCTAAAACCAGGAGGAGCTGCAACCCTCACAGATACTGAAGACAGTTTGCTAAAGAGGCTGCAATAGTGGGAGCAGTTATGCAATAAATCAATAAGTGATATTGTCTGTCTTTGTTTTTAAGAGCAACCTGGAGCTCATGCAGTAGCACTGTTCTCCAGATGGCTTTCCACGGCACCGTCTCCCGTAACACACCAGTGAGCCACGAGACTGAGACAGAAATTCCAGTGTGGGGAGGGTGTGAGTCATGAGATGGTGAGTGAAAGAAACAGCAGGATAAAAATAACAGAGCACAGTATGATGCAGAATATTAATCTCTTGCCCTGTGTTATCCTAGCTTGTATTACATACACTACTATGTTATACCGTAGATGCTCTACTGCTCACAACAGATCTCTCTATGCTACTCTGAAAGATTAGGGCTCAGGATGCCAGATTGCAGGGACTTCTAATACTTGTGCCTTTAAGTTGGCTGAAAAATCTTAATCAAGAATAAGTTGCTGAAATAGAAAATATATAATCAAAGAGTACCGAAATGCCACTTCTGCAACTCATATTTTTCATATCTTATATGAAAACGTCAAGTTCAGTTAATTTAACATCAATTTAAAAATTAAAATTATACCTCTCTTAAAATCCCCCTCTTTTTCCAATCTTCCTTTTCTTCTTCTTCTTCTTCCTTCAGGAGGAGAAAAGAAAGAAGAAAAGTATAAAAATACCATGAAAAACAGACATTCAACTTTGATTCTAGCAGACATGATTCAGTAGAAAAAAGGTAGAAGAAGGAGAATCACTAAAATCAGAAGAAATGCCAGGTGTTTTATTTTGAAATATGAATCCCCGTTTTTCTAGTCAAATCTGCCATTCTATCCTGGCTGATCTTCATTCTGAAATCAATCTCAACAAAATCAGGAGCCCTTCTAGGGAGCTATTGTTTTCAGCTCAGCTAGTTCAAAGTATTTGAGTAAAGCATCTAAGCCAGTCACCTTGACATCTCCTATAATCACTGGAGCAAGACAGTGATCTTCAGAGAGGTATTTGGAGCTTAGGAAGCCTATTACCATGTTATTTTTCAATTCAGTCAGGAATCTGGGCATCATAAAGACAGCAGGAGCTTTTCCTTTAACTTCAAAGGGTGCCAGCTCTGGCACCGAGTCTTCGCTGCAGATTAATACACAGAGACCTCTTTTAATAGAAATTGTGTCTTTGTTATTTGGGAGTGGGGGGAAATGTTTATTTTATTTCACACAGGTTCAGTTCAAAATCTTTCAAATGGGTTTCATTTTGCTTTTATTTTTTTTTTTTTATGTAAGTCACCTTCAGGCTTTGTCAGGACTGTGGAAACCTTTGCCAAAACTGGGGAAAATACAAACAAATGACAGGGCAACCTTCTCTGAGGAGCAGTGGGGTGGCTGTGTGGTCCCTGTGCTGCTGTGAATGCCCAAGCTTTGTATGGTTCTCCCTCCCCTTTGCCCTTTCAGGGCTGCCTGATGAAGTGAAGCATTTGCACACATACTGAAAAAAAGATGCTGTTTAATCATGATCGATTTAAGGCAACAATTTAAGGCAGGCATTTGTGTGAAGTAGTCTGGGTTAGGTATGCAGTTATGGTAAGAACACTCCTTTCTCCCTTTCAGGTCCTGTTGAAACCAATTTCTTTGATCCCAATAAGTTGAAACTACTTTGAAAAATCCCTTTTTTTTCTTCTTTTTCTTTTTTTTTCTGTTTTGTCTTGCAGAGGTTGCCTGGGAAGCTGCTTGGGAATATCTTTTCTGTTTTTTAAATACTGTTCTTAAGCAATCCTCTGTTAGTATTTACGTTTATATTTCCATCTATTTATCTTATTCTTGTATATCAAGTCTTTATATTTTCCAATGCGTAAAGAAAAAAACACTTATTTTTGAAGTCATACAAAAATGGAAGCAATTGTAATCATGATTTGATGTCCTTGGAACACATTTTATTTACTATTCAATAGCCACTGTTTTTATTAGGACATTGTTTGAACGTAACTTTAAGCCCAATAAAGTTCCAGGACTAATCTCCTGGGAGAGGATATTTATGGTCCATATTTTCAGAGAGGGAGATTGGAAGTAGAAAAAGGCTTAAGTATTTAGGCCTCGGTTCAACTCTGAAGGCAGGGGAAATCTGTCTGTTGCAAATAGTCATTTGACCAGTTGTAGCAGTGGGTTGCATGTCCAAATGTCCAGCTCGGAGGGGTAGTTGCATTCAGTGTACTCATTGCAAAGAGAAACATAGGCCTTGGATTGTGTATATTACTGCAGGGGAAATGACCTATTTTTCTGGAGAGAAAAAAAAAAAAAAACAACCTACCATAAAAATCTAATTTGCAAGAACTGTAAGAGTGGAAAAAATACTGCTTTTTCCTTAGGATATTTGGTTATGCAAACAAATTGATGGAAACAACATTTCCAGCAGGAAAACCACTGATGGTGCTTGGTGTCACTCAATTAATATCGAAAGTGAAATAATGATGCATCTTTCACTTAGTTCTAAACCTTAATTCTGTATCCAGTGTGAAGCCTAATGATTTGCTTTTGATATTTACTATAGCTTTTTACCTTACAGAGGTCTAATTGCTTTCCTCCTGCAGATACTGACCGTTAGGAAGACACTGCTGCAGAGACTGAAACCAAACCCAGTTATTCCTTGTTCTCAAGTCGTCTTGGGTTAGAAGCTGACGAAAAAAATAACTGTGATGTCTCCATCAAGCATGCGTTCTCAATGAGCTGGATATCTTCATTCAAATTGTTGAAAATCTGTTCTGCTTGGAGGTTTCTCTCGTAGAGGAATTGTTCAGCACCACAACAGGAGTGTGCAGGGGGCCCATGAAAGTTTAAATGCTTTGAATTCACTGCCAGGCACAAGAAGACTTTACTACTTGAGCTAATGTTTGGAAATAAATGAGTTCTTGTCATAGATTGGGCATCTTCTACCATGGTTCTTACATATCAAAATTTCTCACCATTCTGGAAAATACCATGGTTCTTACATATCAAAATTTCTCATCACTCTGGATTCAAGTATTTGTTCTTTTTCTTTTATTGGCATTCATCTTTGTTTATTTATTTTATATTCTTGGGATGTGTTACATCTCTGGAGTTTGTATTTCTACTTTTAGCATAAAAATGCTGTACATACAAGTCTAGAATACATCTGCAGATTAGTCTAATTTTTCATGTGACTTTGACTTGAACATTTTTATGTTTATGTTTATATTGCTATTTCAAAAATGTGCATTATCTGTATTCTTTATGCCTTTTTCCTATCTATAACTCAATAAAATTATGTCCCCATTCTGCAGAACCATATCACATGTGCAGAACAGTGAAAACATTTTTTGAATAATAATGACTGATAACTGTAAATCGATTATTCTATATCTATATTTATATCTGTATCTAATATATATCTATCTGTCACAGCCTGAAATTCTTCTGATGTAGGATTTGAGATGGTGAAAAAATTACCAGTGAGCAGTAAGATCAGCTCAGGAATAATTCTTTGTAAGGCTATTTGGACTTGAAAGGTAGATTTTTCTGTTCCCTAAAGGTGTATGTTCTTTATTTCGATTTTCACCATGGCTAAATTTAGAAGTGGTATTAGCCATGTGAGTCAATGGAGTGGTACCCATTTCATCAGGCTGCTCATGTCTTCAATGTCACTACAGCTCAGGGATAAATAAATGGCTGCAATTATGCCCTTTGTCACAGAATATGCGAGTTCCTAAGGAATGCTAGCTTAACCTTTCAGAGCTCCCAGTTCTTGTGTGACTAAGAGAGAATATAGTCCAGTAGATCTGCCACTGGCCTGGAACAGCAAAGGTTTGCATTGCATTGAATGGCGCAGCATGAGCTTTCTTTGTGAGAGGAGGTATATTAGATGAGTTCCAAGCATATGGCTCTGACTGGAAGTTAACAAATACTCATCTGAGTGCAGCATCTAAAATTTCTGTGAGGATCCACATCTGCTGACTTGTTCATGGGCCCTACATTTGAGGCAGAGCACAGACAAAGCCAACGTCTTCGGTGAATGAGCCTAGTGAGCACCAAAGCAGCAGATCCGTGACTGGAAGTTAACAAATACTAATCTGAGTGCAGCATCTAAAATTTCTGTGAGGATCCACATCTGCTGACTTGTTCATGGGCCCTACATTTGAGGCAGAGCACAGACAAAGCCAACATCTTCTGATGAATGGCTGTTCGGTGAATGAGCCTGGTGAGCACCAAAGCAGCAGATCCAAGGGATGGAGGTTGTTTTGCTCCACCACTTGAAGTTGATGCAAAAGAGAAGGCTCTGAGAAGTTTGTGTGAGGACAGTACTTCCCTGTGCTACCTTTTGAACTGAATGCTGTAGGACCTGGATCTGCCTTGTAAGGATCTTTAAGGCAGATTCTCAGCTGGCGTACACTAGCCTAATTTCTTTGACATTAGTGGAGCTCTTCTGACTTATACCCACTGAAAATCTGAGAGTTTAGCTGTATTTAAATGAAACTTTTTTATATGAAGCACAGCCTTTTTAAAGGAATTAGGTTTTTTTTACCCTCTCTAGTAAGGAAAATAAAAGAGTAACTTGACCTGGGGAATCTGTGGGCTGATGCAAGCCTTGGCTGGTGGACTTTCACACTTGTCATGTGGATATTGGAGTTCTTTACAACTCCCTTGATTTTCTGTGTTTCTCTTTTGTCGTGGGTAGATCTAGTGACGTGTTTAATTCTGTGCTTAAGTGTAGTCCTAGCTGACATGAACAGACTGCAAACATGCACAACTGTATGCAGGACTGAGGCTTTAACAAGTAGATTTTTGAGTGTCTGGAAATAGGCTTTGATCTTAGAGTGAACTTAAACTTCTGTGGGCTATGAGCATTCATAGAAATTAAAATCCCTCAGAGCAAGGACATGAAACCATCCAATGTCTCTTCTGCTCTGTGGAGATTCAGCTATTCTTGGCGTATTTGTTAGAAGATGTTCACTGCCAGGAGAAACTTGAGGTCATTATACAATAGCAGCTTCTTAGTGCTGTAATATTCCTTTGGGTCTCCAAAGTTTAGTGAAGTCAATGGGGAAGTTTCTATCAGTTTCAACATTTGGAGAAAATATACTTGCTACAAGTTAGACTCCATCAAATACAGTTATTTACAAAGCATTCGAAGAGGGAAAGACATTTCTCACCCTTGTCTGGTTAATGCTGTATGCCAAGCCTGCCTTCAGGATTTTAAATCATATAAATTGAAAAGCGCCCCATTTGAATGTAGAATGAACTCTGAACCAGTTTAGTCTGCTTCTCAAGGGTAATTTGACACAGAGAAAGGGCAATAGGACCTCCAAAGAGATGTCTGAGGACTGCGAGAGATGACAGTGGTCATGGTGACAGGTGACTCGTCTGACTCTGTAGGCTCACCTATTCCAAGACATATCTTCCTCACTGTTGATCGCAGTCATATTTTTTCCTGTACCCAAAAATGACAGCTTCTGAGTCCTGTTACATCTGGGAGATATACTATACACATCTAGACATCTCCAATCAGTAACAAGACATATTCGTGTGAAAAAACAGCTGGGGCTGGCTTGTAATTAGGGTTACTAGTTATATCTTCTTTCATTTAGGTTAATTACTGCTGCTGTCTTACCAAAAACATGTTCATTAATTTATACCTTCTCCTTGTCATTATTAGAGGATAGAAAGCAAGTTTTGACCTCCTTAAGGAACTTGTTTGCTTTCACAAATTGCTTTTATTAGGTACAGCCAATGGCCTTTCTCTTTATTACCTTTCTTGCTCCATTCTTCTGATAAATGCTACCAGGACAGTCGTGGCTTACAGTGTCCACTGTTCTCTGTTCTCACAATCCAAAGGTAACACTTCTTTTTATAATTCAGTTGCTACTGGAACTTATGCAGAAAACTGACAAATGCACAAAATTGCAACTTATGCGCCGTTAAAAAGACCAAGGACTTTATGTCAAGTTCTTGTTGTGGTAAAGCCAGAAGAGCACAGCCTGAAAAGAAATCTTGAAAAAGAAACAGTTATCATAGTATGCAGCCCTCACTTCAGGAAGTCCCCTAAAAGTGATTGACTGGGGCTAGGAGGATATGTTCTGATTCTAACATTCCTCCTTAAGAATCTGCTATAGGATGAGTAGATTTTGTTTTGCTCTAGTACAGAATTTCTTGTTCAGGGAAGAAAATGGTAAGGGGGTTCAAGGAAAGGATAAAGACAAAATCATAACAATTTGAAGAATTATAATTTTAGTTATGTGGGCTGCTCTAGTAGGAGCTGCACATCTAGATGGGTCAACATTTCCGTGGTAGACTTGAAAGCCTGGGATGTTTCATGGCAGCGTCAAAGTACGTAGGTAGCTGAACTGGGTTTACTCATTCTTTGAGAATTAGGGTGTTCTGAGGATGTTTTCCACTTTGGGCTGGGATGAAAAGCTAAAACAGCAAACATGTTCATGGTTTACAAAGCTTGTATTTCAGACTAGGCTAATCAAATCACTTTGATTCTATTTACCAGCTTCTAATTTCCAATAAGAATTCAATTTGGATGAAAATATCTTCAACCTGAAGGCAAAAAGTCCAAGCCAGGCAAGAAACAAAACAGAAAAGTCTCCTAATAATAAGAGAGATGGTCGATGGAAATCCACATGGTGCAAAGACCTGGCTACATCAGGGTGTTTAATCGTGGGATTCAGATCCATAGACTTGTGAGTGTGTTTGCAGCAAAGAAACCTTCCAGAGCACGTGCCTGCAATATGCCCAGCTGAATCAGCTGCCAGCACTCTACTGAATGCTAAGTTCATTCATTATTATTGCTGGCTTTTTAGGAGGCAAGATGAGGAAAATAAACATCAGTCTCCAACAGATGGGACCAGAGAAGGGCAGCTGCAGGCACACGGTGCGCTACATAAGGCATGCAAGCACACGTGGAACCCTCTGCCCCCGGAGCTCTGGCGTTTCTGTTACACAGGCAGCAGGAAAACACAATTATATGAATTAACCGTCACTCCACAAATCCCTTTACTTTGTGCTTCCCAGTCGGAAAAATAGGCAGGACCCAGGGAACAATTGGTACAGAGGTGCAATTTGGCACATGACAGTAAGGGCAGCACTGAAAGAGCATATTACTGCCTATTTTTGATGAGCAAGGGCATTCCCTGTGAGTCTCCTGCCTTTTCTTTTTTGTTATGGGTACCTTATTTTATTTTTTTATCTTTGGGGCTGAAAAGCTGGTAAATAAGATTACAGCACAGGCATACAGACACAAATAAAATAAAATACCATGGCAAAAATAAAACGAAAATACAAATAAACCACAAATACGAATAAAATACAGTGGAAATGTGTAAACAAGATTACTAGGGCAAAACAGTGCCTCTCAGCATATTAACTGCATTGTGGGGAACGTACAGCTGGGGCAGACCCAAAGGCATTTTTTGCCAGGGCACAGCAGATGCGGGTGGAAAACACTAATGCAGCGCTCGAGAGAGAGAGCTGCTCCCGTGGCTGTTCATTGAGTGTAGACAACTGAGGGTGGGAAAGAAGCACAAGGAGTTTGATTTGTTTGGGGTTTTTTTATGATTATTCTTTCCTCTTACCACAATCATCTTCAAATTGTGTTGGATTTCCACAACTTTAAAAGGATCTCAGCCTGGAGAAGAGAAGGCTCCGGGGAGACCTCAGAGCAGCCTCCCAATATCTGAAGGGAGCTACAGGAGAGCTGGGGAGGGACTCTTTGTCAGGGAGTGCAGTGACAGGACAAGGGGTAACGGTTTTAAATGGGAAGAGGGGAGATTTAGATTAGATACCAAGAAGAAATTTTTTGCTGTGAGGGTGGTGAGACACTGGAACAGGTTGCCCAGAGAAGCTGTGGCTGCCCCATCCCTGGAGGGGTTCAAGGCCAGGCTGGATGGGGCTTGGAGCAACCTGGTCTGGTGGGAG